TACACTTGGCCCTTAAGAAGAGTATCTTATCTGCATTACTGTTGTTTATATAGTCTATTGTTTCTATAATGTTTAGAATTGGTTGGTTGGTTGGTTAGTTGATTAGGTGATTGGTTGGTTGGTTGTTAGGTAAAGGTTGGTAGGTAGGTAGGTAGGTAGGTAGGTAGGTAGGTAGGTAGGTAGGTAGGTAGGTAGGTAAGACGTGGAGAAGACGAAGGAGAACCGGCCTAACCACTGGTCATCAACTGTAGAGGTGGTCAGCAAAACCAGATTCCTGAGGGTGCACATCACAGACACCCTCACCTGGAATGTAAACACCATCTCACTGGTCAAAAGGGCACAGAAGCGCTTCGACTTCCTGCAGAGGATGAGGAGAGACTACCTGCCCCCAACCATCCTCTTCATCTTCTACAGAAGCACCATAGAGAGCATTCTGACCAGCTGTCTCACTGTGTGGTGTGGAGGCTACAGCATCTCAGACTGGAAGAAAGTGAGGAGAGTGGTGAGAACAGCAGAGAGGATCATCTGGGCTCCACTCCCCTCCATTAAAGACATTTCATCCCAGCGCTGCATGTCCCGAGCCCGTAACATCATCAATGACCTCTCACCCCCCCACCATGGAAGGTTCAAAATGACGAATAAATCTGTCTAAGTCTAAGGTAGGTAGGTAGGTAGGTAGGTGTTAGGAATCCAGTTTGTGTGGGTTGTGTTTTTGTTTGCTTTCCCTCCACCACCAGGTGGCGCCTAGTTCTCGTTGGTCCTCTCACACACCTGCGGATGGTTGCCTCATTACCTGAGGACTCTTAAGCTGCTGACTGCCACTACCTCGACGCCAGAGTGTTTGCCAGTTTTGGGTACTCTAGGCAAGCTGAGTTTTGCTGAGTCAAACTAAGTTTTTGTCAACCTGAGTCTTAACCTTGTTGTTTTTGTCTTTGCCTCTCGGCAGGAAGTCATCCTGCAAATTAGATGTTTTGGACCTTCTCCCCCTGGAAGGATCGTCTGAGTTTCAAACTGAGCTGGGGATTCAAACTGGAGGTTTGGATCTACTTTTCCGCAAGGGCTTGTTTGAGCTACACTCCGAGCAGGGGATTCATCTCCACAAGAAACAGTTCAATTACCATTGGAAATGTAAGTGGCAGTCAGCTCCTCCGTTCCTCAAGGAAACACCTCAACCTGGGTAAACCCTGTCTGCCCTCTAACGAGCAACTCAATTACTGGAACAACCCACACCGACTGGATTCAGAGAAAGACACCTTTTACTGGAAACGTGAGTCCCATTGCCTTTATTCCCTTTTGCAAATTGACGTTTAAATTTCCCACTGTGCCTGAACTAATTACAGGAACTTCCCCTTCACTTTTCAGTCCCGGTTTGCCAGTGTTCAGAGCAGCACTGGACCCATCTCTACCAGTTCTCAATAAACCTGTTAAACCTTCCCTTGGTCTCTCTGTTTGGTTTCCTGCATGTGGGTCAGATCTTGGATAAAATCATGACAGTAGGTAGGTAGGTAGGTAGGTAGGTAGGTAGGTAGGTAGGTAGGTAGGTAGGTAGGTAGGTAGGTAGTACTCACTTTCCGTACTTGAGTAAAAGTACAGATACTTGTGTTAAAAAATACGCTGGTAAAAGTGGAAGTACTGATTAAACTTCTTTACTCAAGTAAAAGTAACAAAGTACAGGCTTGTAAATTTACTTAAAGTATAAAAGTAAAAGTAGAATCCACTTTTTTCATGCCGTTGCCTACATTTTAATGGATGTCTGCCAATAGGACTAGATCTCCGTTGTGTTCATTTTCAATCATCTCGTCGTCCATGCTACCATGCTAACGCCACCGCCACCAAGCTGCAATGATTTGCCGCCAATGAATACCGCCGAATCGGTCGATTCATCTTGTAGTAGTGCGTCAAATGCAACGTAGATTCCCATCCAATTAGATTGAATTTGGTATTGATGACGTGAAAAATAATAACGGTAACTCCATTGAAATTATTCAAAACTAAAGTAACGAGCCAATTTTTTAAAATGTAAGGAGTAGAAAGTACAGATATTTGTGTAAAAATGTAAGGAGTAGAAGTAAAAAGTTGCAATAAAAATAAGTAGTAAAGTAAAGTAAAAATATCAGAAAAATCTACTTGAAGTATTTGTACTTCGTTACTTCCCATCTCTGGTAGGTAGGTAGGTAGGTAGGTAGGTAGGTAGGTAGGTAGGTAGGTAGGTAGGTAGGTAGGTAGGTAGGTAGGTAGGTAGGTAGGTAGGTAGGTAGGTAGGTAGGTAAGACGTGGAGAAGACGAAGGAGAACCGGCCTAACCACTGGTCATCAACTGTAGAGGTGGTCAGCAAAACCAGATTCCTGAGGGTGCACATCACAGACACCCTCACCTGGAATGTAAACACCATCTCACTGGTCAAAAGGGCACAGAAGCGCTTCGACTTCCTGCAGAGGATGAGGAGAGACTACCTGCCCCCAACCATCCTCTTCATCTTCTACAGAAGCACCATAGAGAGCATTCTGACCAGCTGTCTCACTGTGTGGTGTGGAGGCTGCAGCATCTCAGACTGGAAGAAAGTGAGGAGAGTGGTGAGAACAGCAGAGAGGATCATCTGGGCTCCACTCCCCTCCATTAAAGACATTTCATCCCAGCGCTGCATGTCCCGAGCCCGTAACATCATCAATGACCTCTCACCCCCCCACCATGGAAGGTTCAAAATGACGAATAAATCTGTCTAAGTCTAAGGTAGCTAGGTAGGTAGGTAGGTGTTAGGAATCCAGTTTGTGTGGGTTGTGTTTTTGTTTGCTTTCCCTCCACCACCAGGTGGCGTCTGGTTCTCGTTGGTCCTCTCACACACCTGCGGATGGTTGCCTCATTACCTGAGGACTCTTAAGCTGCTGACTGCCACTACCTCGACGCCAGAGTGTTTGCCAGTTTTGGGTACTCTAGGCAAGCTGAGTTTTGCTGAGTCAAACTAAGTTTTTGTCAACCTGAGTCTTAACCTTGTTGTTTTTGTCTTTGCCTCTCGGCAGGAAGTTATCCTGCAAATTAGATGTTTTGGACCTTCTCCCCCTGGAAGGATCGTCTGAGTTTCAAACTGAGCTGGGGATTCAAACTGGAGGTTTGGATCTACTTTTCCGCAAGGGCTTGTTTGAGCTACACTCTGAGCAGGGGATTAATCTCCACAAGAAACAGTTCAATTACCATTGGAAATGTAAGTGGCAGTCAGCTCCTCCGTTCCTCAAGGAAACTCCTCAACCTGGGTAAACCCTGTCTGCCCTCTAACGAGCAACTCAATTACTGGAACAACCCACACCGACTGGATTCAGAGAAAGACACCTTTTACTGGAAACGTGAGTCCCATTGCCTTTATTCCCTTTTGCAAATTGACGTTTAAATTTCCCACTGTGCCTGAACTAATCACAGGAACTTCCCCTTCACTTTTCAGTCCCGGTTTGCCAGTGTTCAGAGCAGCACTGGACCCATCTCTACCAGTTCTCAATAAACCTGTTAAACCTTCCCTTGGTCTCTCTGTTTGGTTTCCTGCATGTGGGTCAGATCTTGGATAAAATCATGACAGTAGGTAGGTAGGTAGGTAGGTAGGTAGGTAGGTAGGTAGGTAGGTAGGTAGGTAGGTAGGTAGGTAGGTAGGTAGTACTCACTTTCCGTACTTGAGTAAAAGTACAGATACTTGTGTTAAAAAATACGCTGGTAAAAGTGGAAGTACTGATTAAACTTCTTTACTCAAGTAAAAGTAACAAAGTACAGGCTTGTAAATTTAATTAAAGTATAAAAGTAAAAGTAGAATCCACTTTTTTCATGCCGTTGCCTACATTTTAATGGATGTCTGCCAATAGGACTAGATCTCCGTTGTGCTCATTTTCAATCATCTCGTCGTCCATGCTACTATGCTAACGCCACCGCCACCAAGCTGCAATGATTTGCCGCCAATGAATACCGCCGAATCGGTCGATTCATCTTGTAGTGGTGCGTCAAATGCAACGTAGATTCCCATCCAATTAGATTGAATTTGGTATTGATGACGTGAAAAATAATAACGGTAACTCCATTGAAATTATTCAAAACTAAAGTAACGAGCCAATTTTTTAAAATGTAAGGAGTAGAAAGTACAGATATTTCTGTAAAAATGTAAGGAGTAGAAGTAAAAAGTTGCCATAAAAATAAGTAGTAAAGTAAAGTAAAAATATCAGAAAAATCTACTTGAAGTATTTGTACTTCGTTACTTCCCATCTCTGGTAGGTAGGTAGGTAGGTAGGTAGGTAGGTAGGTAGGTAGTAGGTAGGTAGGTAGGTAGGTAGGTAGGTAGGTAGGTAGGTAGGTAGGTAGGTAGGTAGGTAGGTAGGTAGGTAGGTAGGTAGGTAGGTAGGTAGGTAGGTAGGTAGGTAGGTAGGTAGGGTGTTATTGATCCCTTTTGGAATGTTATTTGAATACAACATTACAGTAAATTCAAAAAATACAAAAAATAAGAATAAATAAGATAAGGCAAGCACACAGAACAGAATAATGGAATGTGGTCACAGGACGGTGTGCAGTGTGACGGTGTTTGCCCATAGTCCTTCTCTCTGCACCCTCACAGTTTCAATGGAGAGACATATACAGTTATTATATTTAATCTACCCAAGTATTTTAATGTTTATGAAGTCTTTTTTATGAATGATACATTTTTTTCCCAACATCAAGGAAACGTGTGGCACAAATTGAAACAAATCATTCCTGACATTTAGGAGTTGAAATATTAATCAAAAGTTGCTTTGTCTTGGGTAAACGTAATCTCTGGTTGCAGATTAGAGCATAGAAGGAAATTCTTTCAAACTGTCACCACTTGTTCAATAACAGGTCATGACATGAAATCATGACTAACGGTGGACTGGACTACGGTATTTTGGACCATCTTGCTTCTCTTAAGAGGTTTTTATTTGATTTTGCCTTTGGGTTCCTTCGGTAAAGTTTTAAGGCTTTTGGAAAGAAATCTTTCATGTTGAAACTTGTTACATAAAAAATTTTCCTTTGAAAAGATTTTCCTCAGAGAAATTCAGGATGGACCTGTTTTATAATTAAGTCGCATGTAGGCTGTGACATATTACAGACTGAATACACCTTTTACAATCAGAAGACAGCTGGAGGTACACAAGTAAGTATATCTTCTTTCTAACTAACTCAGATCCAAAGAAAAATCTAATAGATTATGTCACTTTGTGGTTTAAGGGTGACAGTTCTGTGTGAAGTCCTTAAGCCTGCCGAATTAATTATAAATGTAATTTTATGGAGAACTTTGCTGTTTCTGTGAAAATTTACAATATTTACTTTACCTTAGAACAAATCAAATTCCAAAAATTTTAATTAAGGCCAGCCTTTCTAATGTATGGTTCTCCTTCTGGTTTCAGGTCAATTACCTGTGATCCCTGAAGTTACCTTTGAACCACAGTCTGACTTTGAGTCTCATAGGGTATATGATTGTCCGCTTAAGTTTCTTCTGAAACCAGAAAAAGTTTGCTCTTCAAGGAACAGTGTTTTTTTCTTTACTAAGAGACACCTGGCAGCTCTGTAACCATGGGTGAATGGGACTTCCTCGGTGGCCTGTTTGAAACTCTCCAGGCCCACTCACCAATGCTTGGACGTTTCTGGCTCTTCTTAATGTTAGTGTTTCGGATAGTGATACTGGGAACTATTGCCAGCGACTTGTTTGAGGATGAACAAAATGAGTTTTCCTGCAACACTCTCCAGCCGGGCTGCAAGCAGGTGTGTTATGATATGGCTTTCCCCATCTCCCAGTACAGATTCTGGGTGTTTCATATCGTCCTGATAGCTACGCCATCCATGGTTTTCCTCATGTATGCCACTCATCATCACAACAAAAAGGCCTCACGCCCTAAGACGGCACGAAATAAAATTCAGGACATAATCGAAGATCGCCGCTTGAGGAGGCTGTACATCGTAAACGTGATCTTTCGACTCGCTGCTGAGGTGGGCTTCTTGGTGGGCCAGTGGTGGCAGTACGGCTTCAAGGTGGAAGCACAGTTCCCCTGTAGCCGGTTTCCCTGCCCCTACACAGTTGACTGCTTCACCTCCCGCCCTGCAGAGAAGACAATCTTCCTTCTCTTCTACTTTGCTGTGGGGGTCCTATCAGCACTTTGCAGCTTGGCAGAGCTTTTCTACGGCTACACCAAGTGGTTCTGCTTCAGCCAGGAACAGCTTGATCAGGAACTCTGCGCCAGTCAGAACCTGCAGAACCTGGAACAAGATGAGTCAGACGAGAAGCTAGAGGAAAAGATGTCAGACAGTGGAGGCAGCAGCACAGGATTAAAGAGAGGATCAGTGAAAAAAAGCAGCAAAAAGGCCTCCGGCAAGAAAAGCAAGAGAGGAAAATATGTGAGCGCCAGGACACTCATGGTGTGAGTGGCAATTGTCACATTCCAATCATTTCAAGTTAATATAGACTGAAAGCCTGGAATTGGAAGAAATATGTTTCTTTTGTGTCATACTGAATTAAGTGCTTAGTTTAGATTTAAGTTTGAGCTAATAGAAAAGTAGTAAAGATTCTTTACCTTAAATTCTATTTGAAAATGTGCTACTCATTGGCAAGATGTTGGGTTTGTTTATTGTACATATATGAGATGATTTTCTTTTAAATATAACTTTAATTTGACAAAAAAAAAAAGAAAGTAACTAAAGTAAGTGATCTGCAGACCCAGAGAGCCACTTGTGCATCTGCTGATTTTACAGATAAAACTGATCCTATTTAAGTAAACTTAATGTAAAAGTGCATCACTTTAATTTCAAATCATTGTGAAAATAAAAGTACAAAATGAAACAGGTGAACAATCGGTTAGAGATTTTCATTCATCATTGGAAATGTATTTTGATTTTGTCTTGAAGCACCATGTCTAGAACCGTCTTTACATCTCAATTTTGTTTAAATAGAAAATGCAAAGTCCTGTTTACTTTGAATTTTATAACACAGTATTATATTCTAACTTATTGTGAGTTATATTCTGTTTTAAAATCAAATATTTAGTGAACATTAACTTGAACTGTTTTAAAGTTCCAGTGTCATAAAGGAGTGGACATTCAACACTAGCAGTAACTGAATCACCTGAACACATTAAACAGTATTTTTTAATGACCCATTTATAAGGATTCCTGCAATTTTCTTTTTTTATTTAGATGTATATTTTGAGGGCATGGGAGCTTTTATTTTTTTAGATAAAGTATATATATGGAAATATGCAGTTTCTTTTTTATAGGTAAGATGATGTTAATGACTTTGGGTTAATGTTAAAAAAAACTGAAATGTTAGGACTGTAAATTTACAGTCATATGTTTATATTCCTGTTTTTATATTTTTTTTAAACTATTTTTCAAGGCTGCACTTTTAAAGAAATGAAATTGTCGAGAGAGCTGTTCTAAAGGAAATTTCTTTGTTTTACAGTGGTGTTTACAAAATGACAAATAAATCTAAGTCTTAATGACTGCTGTGTCCTAGTTATTTTCTGCAGAAGTTAAGGGTGTGAAAGAGTTATACAGTTTCTGTTCTTCCATTTATTATTAAAAACATGATAGAGTATATCACATATTTCTGTACCGTGAATTAAATTAAATGTGGAATAGATTCAACAAAAATAGGACAGTTTCCTTTGTCAAGGGAAAGTCCCTCTTTTATGTATGGATTTACCAAAGGTTTGTTTAAAATATCCAGCAAAATATTAGCTCTGACTCATACCTGTAAGACTTGGTGTAAAGCTATAAAAACGTGGAGAACTTTATTTTTCATGTGTAAACTGGGGCTTTATTACATGTAATATCTCCTAATTTTATTTTTTTTTACATTAATGTTATTTTTAAAAGTGCACTAGGAAATAAACTGGATGAAAAAAACATTTCATAATTAATATCATGATTTTACATAGTTTAAAACATCTTGGTGTGGCAATAACTCTATTTAGGACAAACTCTTTTTCATGGCATTGAAAAAAGTAAAATATGAATAAAATAGCACCGCTGCAGCCTTAATAAATCAAATCTATGAGAAGGAACAGATGAGAGCTGCCAGAAATTTTTTTTTTAATTCCATCCAGAAATAAATTCAAACTAAACACTTTTCCTCGTCTCGTTTGACTTTAATGCACACAGAGTAGACGCAAAGCAATATATATTTTTTTTTGTTTGTTTAATTTTTGGAGAAAAGTCTGAACTAGATTGGCAGTGATTGTGAAAGGTGAAATTTTTTGGTTTATGTTTTTTCACTTCAATTTGTGGTGAGTCCGGAGCCCAGATCTATATCTTATAGTAATGATTAATTGATCCATAGTCTTTTGTCGTGTTTCTACCTTAATTTCCAATGTAAACTCTCATAGCCCAACAAGGAGATGCAGGAGGAAAGTAAAAATTATACATATATCATAAAAAATAAATAAAGCCTGAGAAGTAAAGCGTATTTTTTTACGTGATTTTTTTAATTTCTGTGTTTTCATGGATTTTTGTCCTGCTGGGAGGTAAACCTCTTATCCAGAATCAAGTCTTTGTTCTGTGTTTATAATAATAATAATAATAATACATTTTATTTAAAAAGGCGCCTTTATGTCACTCATCCTTCCATTAAATCTGAACAGCTCTCCTGTCTGTAATGAAAAGTAGTACCACAGCATGATGCTGCTGCTGCCATGTTTTACCATAAGGACAAAATATGTGGGAAAATGTGCTGCTTTAGTTTTCCACCAGTCACTTATAGTTTCTCTTGCAGTTTTAATTTTTTTTTCTTGGAGTTTATTGCTTTGTTTTCTTGCAAGAAGGAGCTGAGTTTGATTTCTGTCCTAGGGTTTTTTTCTCCATGGAGTATTCATGTTCTCCATGTGTGGGTTTGCTCCCAGTACTCCTGCCACAGGCATGGATACGTAGACAAAACTTTGGGCACTGGCATGAACGTTGACAACACCGCCATTTTGAATATGTCAGGGAGGAGCTACAGGGAGAGATCACCGATCGGAAAGGATGGCCTCCTTCCTGTGCTGCATGGAAGGGAATCAACCATTTTATAATATAAACCAGATCTGTTGGCATTACCTTTTATCCATATTATAGTATTTTCTTGTGATTAATCAAAGAGAATTTACTCACTTTGGTGGAAATACAGTAAAATTCTTACTCATCATAATGAGAATTCAGCAGCAAAACCAACAAGAAACAAAATATTAATTTCTATAACTTAAATAGTTTATAGTCTGTAGGTTTCCCAAAGATAGTTTTAAGAAAGCAGTGGGAAGCAGAAGTGAGAAGACAAGCGTTAATCATGTTAAACATTTCTGTCACATGTAAACCTTTTGGTAGAGACACAGATCTACGACAGAGTATCAGGGCATATTATTTTAGAGACAATAAATGACTAATATTAGCTAAGAGGAAAAAAGGAGGAAAAGAGAGTAGAATTCTAACAATATGAGAGAAATACAGCGGATAAAGTCAAAACATAAAGTCAATTGCCGAACCAGTTCAACGTCCTGGCAATATTTCACATATTATATTATATTTCAGCTTTAGATTATTTCACTTTATTTAAGGTCTTACAATGACAGTCATGCGATGCGTTGAATGCACCATTTATTTTCCATTGAATGTTTTGACTGTATGATCTGGTTGAATAGCCTTGAGGTGATGCCTTGCAGTACCTTGTTGGTACGGAAAATGTTATGTAATGAATTTACGCAATCTGACTGAGGGGGAGGGAGGGGGGTTGTTTGATCATGATCATTAGGATGCTCATAAAAAGTCAATTTATGAAAACAAAAAAAACTTAAAGTGCTCTTAAAGAACAGCATTTCAGAAGTTAAAAATTTTTTTTTTTTTTGGGTTGTTATGAATATTTTAATTTGTTGTGTCTGCGTGTTAATTTGGGAAGTTTAATAAAATAGTCGAGGAACCTGTTTAATTCTATATAGGGTGGCTGGGGTGTTTTTTTGTTTGTTTTTATTAATAAAGATAACTGTGTTATTTTACTATCTTTCTGTGTTATATAAAAAAAACCAAAAAAAAAACCAAACTGTTTTCTCACCCCTCGTGGGGTGGTAGGTGTCATCCTCAAGCTTGGGTCCTCTACCAGAGGCCTGGGAGTTTGAGGGTTCTGCGCAGTATCTTAGCTGTTCCTAGGACTGAACTCTTCTGGACAGAGACCTCTGATGTTTTACCTGGAATCTGCTGTAGCCACTCTCCCAGTTTGGGGGTCAAAGCCCCCTGTGCTCCAATTACCACTGGCACCACTGCTGTTTTTACTTTCCACATCTTTTCTAGCTCCTCCTTCAGTCCTTGGTATTTCTCAAGCTTCTTGTGTTCTTTCTTCTTGATGTTGCTGTCGCTTGGGATTGCCACATCTATCACTACTGCCTTCTTCTGCTGTTTGTCGATCAACACGATGTCTGGTTGGTTAGCCATCACCTGTTGGTCAGTCTGGATCTTGAAGTCCCATAGGATCTTAGCTCGGTCATTCTCCACTACCTTAGGAGGTGTCTTCCATTTTGACCTTGGGACTTCCAGCCCATACTCATGGCATATAACTCATGGCATATATACATACATACATATATATATATATATATATATATATATATATATATATATATATATATATATATATATATATATATATATATATATATATATATATATATATATATATATATATATGTATATATATATGTATATATATATGTATATATATACGTATATATATATGTATATATATACGTATATATATATACATATATATATATATATATATATATATACATATATATATATATATATATATATATATATATATATATATATATATATATATATATATATATATATGTGTATATATATATATATATATATATATATATATTAATGTATATATATATATATATATATGTATATATATGTCCGACCTTGCCTGTTTTCCAGTGTAGTCCTGTTTCTGTGACTGTGACTGGCTGAATGTGCTCTCTTCATCCTCTGACATGGGAGCTGGCTGTGTGTTTGCTGCATGGGGCCGCCTTTTACAGTTGTCTTTGTGTGATATGCAACACAACTTGGTGAATAAATACTAAATTCCTTTTGGGGGAAAAAAGCTAAAGCTGCTGAGTTTGGATGGAAAAACTTCTGAACTCTTTTAATTCTGGAGCTGAAGTGGAGAAAATTATTTATTTTACTTATTTTAAATGCCAAACTTCTTTTTTTTTCTTTCTTTTTTTAATAGATGAAAACTGAACATTTTAAAAGATTGTGTACTAAACAGCAACAAACCCAGAACCCAAGTCATACAAAGAGTCATGTTTGAATAGTTTTCTTTCCTTGGTTATCTGTTACATGTAGACACATTAGTTACGCTTGGATTATTTATAGGTTAGGGTTAAGTGGGAAAGGAAAAGTAAATCCCCTCAAGGAAACTTGGAGTGTATTTGCTGTCAAGGCACATTTATTCTCCAACTGCATTCAGCTTTTATAAGGCTTAGTCAGAGATACTGACTGTATTATTTAGGTTTATTTCATTTATTATGACCTGCATTATTTTGGAAATAAGATTGTTTCTGCAAAAAAAAAAAAAATCATCTGAGAATTAAGAAAATGTATTAAATTAATGGTGTATGACAGTGTGTCTGACAGAAAGAGAAGATGTATACATCCGGCTTGTGAAACATGATTGTTTGAATGATTGATTTTTGATGCTAAACTAATAGAAATAACTGAAGTTAAAGTCCATGTCTGTGAACAGAAACCTGGCTTCTAAGGTTCATTCTGATTCTGAGTTATTAATTTGATCAGAGTTCTAGGAACGTTTGATTAGTAACCCTTGAATTTCTGTTTTCCTGGGGTATAAAGATGAAGTGACACAGAGACTCAAGCTACTAGCAACTAGCCTAAATGAGGATCCTTATTAATCTTCTCACAGTTAGCAGGACAATAAAGGAAGTGAGCCAATGTGTGGCAGCTGTGCTGCTGCCATCAACAGCTTTGTTTATAGATGTTGGAGATGCTGTTTTTCAGTGTAGTCCTGTTTCTCTGACTGTGACTAACTGGATGTGCTCTCTTCATCCTCTGACATGGGAGCTGGCTCGGAGCTCGTCTGCCTGGCTGTGTGTTTCCTGGACGGGGCCGCCTTTTACAGCTGCTTTTTGTATCTCTGCTTCTGTCTCCTTGAACCCCAGTCGGCCTCAGCAGATGGCCGCTCACACTGAGCCTGGTTCTGCTGGAGGTTTCTTCCTGTTAAAAGGGAGTTTTTCCTCTCCACTGTCACTACAAGCACGCTTAGTGTGAGTGATGAGTCGATGCAATCAACTGGTTTCCTTAGATAGAAAACTTTTAATCAATCTGACTGGATGATCTGGTGAACTGTAAA